GTGTGTATATACATTTATATAAGTCAAAGTCTTTATGAGACCTTTAGGTGGTCGCTGTATGACAACTCGGTGACAAGGATGCCTGCAGCGCCAACACAACGTTATGACGTCACACGCGCAGTTGAGTTTAGATTAGTGAAAATTTACAAATTTGCACCGTTCGAGTGTTGTCATTGTGTTAGAGAGAGTAAATGTCATGAATAAATTTGACATTAAACATACTGTAACCCAAGTTGAAGTGTTACATCATTTTTAGTCCCCGTTTTGACATCTGCATTTGTTAGCAGGCCAAACTGACAAAGACCGTGCAGAATAATGTAGTATTTTAATTCCACAGCAGAGAAAGTTATGTAGTCTCTGTAAGTAAAAAAATAATAATTTGTATGCCTCTTTTTTGACTGTCTATTGTTGTCGTTGCTATCCACTGTTGTCGTCACTCTTTGTTAAAGAAATCAGGTCTCTCTTGTAAATGAGTCCCCGACACTCAATGGGATTAATCTGTGTAAAAAAAGGTTGAATGAATGGAAAAAGTAGGTCTGGGGGGGAATATCGATATCTGTTATCGGCAAAATAAATTTTAACATATCGGATATTGGCTAAAAATCCAATATCGTGCATCCCTAGTAAGAAGCTTTAAATTGTTTCAAAACCTTTTTTTAAATTTCTATGGGCAAATGCCGTGTCACAGTGCAGTTTCTGTAAATCCCCCACAGGAACAAGATGAAGAACAATGAGTATGAGAGTGTTGAGCACATCAACACCGATTTGACTCTGCTGCTTGAGAACGCCAAACGCTATAACGTTCCTCACTCGTCCATCTACAAGCGTGCGCTCAAACTTCAACACATTCAGCAGGTCAGCTCTTTGTGTTTTCTCCTCCTTATGTGATGGTTTAGCTTGAAAATCTAAGAACGGTTTAAATTATCCCAATTTTTAGTTTGTAAAAAACGAACTATAAAACTGTAATTTAATTTTACTTGCCTAGATGAGGAGGAAAGAGCTTTTGCAGAGAGCTGAAGATGATGGGGATAGCATGCTGTCCTCTGCCACGTCTGACACCAGTAGCACCAAAAGAAAAAGGTGCATTTTGTCACAAACGATGGATATAAAACGTCTACAAACCTTTGGTGAAGTGCTAATATTTTATGTCAAAAAAAAAAAAAAAAGCTATCGATGAATCATTTCAAAACCTTTTTCCACCTTTACTGTGACAAACAATTTAAACTGCGTATAACTAAACAGAAAATTGGGTTGGAAATTATAAAATAAAATAAAAAAGCAATAAGCTGATTGTGTATGTGTAAACACATACTAAGGTGTAGGAACAAGAACAACACTGAAGCATGGTGGTGGCAGCATCATGCCTTCATCTGGAACTGGTGTTTTAGTCAAAGAGAACGGAGTTATGACCAGTTCCAAATGCCCATTTATTTTTGGACTAAAAGTTTTAGGTGTCTACTAAAAAGCTGAAGGGGAAAATGAATTTCATTTTTCTAAATAGCAATGACTTCAAGCTTGCATTTAAATGAACAAAAGAACAGCTTCACCTGAAGAGAAATATAGTTTATGTACATCTTAGCCAGAGTTTAGACCCAAGTTTGATGGAAAATGTGTGGGATGACCAAAAGAAGGGATGCCTTCCCAATCTGACATATACTGTATTTAACTCTTTAGGAAGGAGTGGGCAAATATTACCAAGTCAAGATGAGGCCTGATGACTAATTCCAAAGAACACTGAAGGTTGTAATCAACTCAGAAGGTGTTTCAATTAATTATCAGTTAGGGTGCGCGCACTTATTCGGCCAGCTTCTTGCATCTTTTTATTTTAAAAATGTTCCTCACAACAGATCTTTTCTTCCATTAGAATTGTACAGGATATACTGTATGTCACAGAAAAGGTGGACAATGTTTTGAAATGATTTATTATGGTTTTATTTTTCTTTACCACACAAAAACCTGGCATTTTACCAGAGCTGTGTAGACTTTACAAACATGGTAGCCTTGACTGTTTGAACTTGGTTGTTTTAATTTTCTGCAATATGACTTTTTTAGTGACCGTTATTGTTGGTTTGTGTTTGATTCCCAGCTACAAGAAGAATACAAAGAAAAATCGAATGAAAGCCATTTTAGCTGCAGTGACTGAAGCGCGAGAAGCTGGCACCGGCCGCAGACTCTGTGACCTCTTCATGGTGAAGCCATCGAAGAAGGACTACCCTGATTATTACAAAGTTATCCTGGAACCAATGGACCTCAGGACCATCGAGCTCAACATCCGTTCGGACAAATACGTCACAGAAGATTTAATGGTGGAGGACACAAAGCTGATGTTCCGCAATGCACGACACTACAATGAAGAAGGCTCCCAGGTCGGGTTCTGTTTGACTGCCGACGCTGCTTTTTTATGGTCATTCGATGTGGTTTTAGCTCCTTGTTCCTACATGTGAATGTTTTCTGTTCTGAAAGAAGAGCACAATCAGCAGTTTCAGAGAGAATAGTTGGCCAAAGATACAGAACCTGAGTGTCAACACTTTTACAAATAACTTTAAGCCACATCCTCCCTTCTAAAAGGTTTTGAGAAGAACAGGAATCTCTTTTTGCTTCACGCCTTTCTCGTTTCTGTAGGTCTACAACGATGCAGACGTCCTTGAGAAGATCATGGAAGACAAACGCAGAGATCTTGGGCCAGCAACTGATGATGATGACCTGATGTCCCCCAAGTTAAAAATAAGTCAGTCAATCAGTCACCAGGTCTAGCTTCTCCAACAAACAGCAGTCTAAGCATGTGTGTCTAGCATTTTTTTTTTCTTTAAGAATTACTTTCATACATTTTCAGGAAAAAACAGCATCTTTCTGAAGAAATCCAAGTACCTCACACCCCTACAGCAGAAACTGAATGAGCTTTATGAAGCTGTAAAGAACTACACGGATAAGCGGGGCCGTCGCCTCAGCACCATCTTCCTCCGGCTTCCGTCGCGTGCCGAGCTGCCTGATTACTACATCGCCATCAAGAAACCTGTAGACATGGAGAAGATCAAGAGCCACATGCTGGCTAATAAGTACCAGGACGTGGACGCGCTGGTGGAGGATTTTGTGCTCATGTTCAACAACGCCTGCACCTACAACGAGCCCAAGTCTCTGATTTACCGCGATGCTCTGTTGCTGCATAGGGTGCTGTTAGAGACGAGACGTGACCTGGAGGGGGGAGAGGATGCCCATGTGCCGGATGTGCCGCGCCTCATCCAGGAACTCATCCGCAGCCTCTTTGTGTCTGTGCTTGGTCACCAAGACGACGAGGGACGTTGCTACAGCGATTCTCTCGCTGAGATCCCTGCTGCTGATCCTGCAAACCCCGAGAAGCCGCCGCTCAATTTTGAAATTATCCGGAAGAATGTGGATCGAGGGCGCTACAAGAGACTGGATGTGTTTCAGGACCACATGTTTGAAGTTCTGGAAAAGGCCAGACAGTTGAAGAGGTCAGGTATTGTTCGCCACTCATTTTAAAACTTGTCAATGTATTAAAAGACTAACGGTTACGCTATTTTTGTCTGTTACAGGACCGACTCGGAGATCTTTGAAGACGCGGTGGAGCTGCAGCATTTCTTCATCCGCATCAGAGATGAGCTGTGTAAAAATGGAGAAATCTTGATGTCCCCAGCCCTCAGCTATACCTCTAAACATCTGCACAGTGATGTGGAGAAGGAGAAGAAAAAAAAGCTTCCCAAGGAGTTCGAGGAGGACAAAATCAAGAGAGAAGAGGAGAAAAGGGGTATCCTCTGAATTATTTATAATAAATCATAGAAAGGGCAGTTCTACATTATCATGCGTGTTTTCATCCTATAGCTTTGCTCAGTTGAAAATTATTTTATTTCTCAGAGGCTGAGAAGAGGGAGGACTCTACTGGAAGTTCATGGCAGGTTCAGCGTACATACAGTCAGGACTGCAGCTTTAAGGACAGCATGTACCATGTGGGAGACTACGTCTATGTGGAACCTGCTGAGCCTAACCTCCAACCGCACATTATTTACATTGAGCGCCTTTGGCAGGATAACACCGGTCAGTGTTTATCGTGTTTATCACAGTCTTCAAAAGAAGATCAAACAATAATCTTATTGGTTTTTAATTTTTTCTATTTAATATAAAGTATATATATATATAAAAAAAAACATCCATCTTCCTATCCACCCCCTCTAAACACAGGAGAGAAGTGGCTGTACGGCTGCTGGTTCTACAGACCCAATGAAACATTTCACCTGGCTACTAGAAAATTCTTGGAGAAAGAAGTTTTTAAGAGCGACTATTACAACAAAGCTCCAGTCAGCAAGATTCTGGGGAAATGCGTGGTTATGTTTGTGAAGGTCCCCTGCATTTCTTTACCTTTTAGTTCATGAGTTTCGTTCTTGTGTGCCGAGCGCTGACTTGATATTTCTGCGATTCCAGGAGTATTTCAAGCTTTACCCAGAAGGATTCAGACCAGAGGACGTGTACGTCTGCGAGTCTCGCTACTCCGCCAAGTCCAAGTCCTTCAAGAAGATCAAGCTGTGGGCGATGCCCTTGAGCTCTGTTCGATTTGTTCCCAGAGAGGTGCCTCTACCTGTGGTCCGAGTGGCTTCCATGTTTGCCCCCAAACAAGAAGAGAAGCCAGCAGAGATTGTAGATGAGGGCAAAATGACAGATGGCATTTTAGAGAAGGTTAGTAGCAACTTGGTAGGTTCTGTGAAAATAACCAACGGGCACTGAAATAATTCTGCCTGCAAATCATTTTTGTCTACAGGAGAGGGAGGACGTTCCACTGGATGTGACCAACGGGGAGCCAGGCTGTCAGTACTATGAGCAGCTCTGCTACAACAACCTTTGGCTGAAAGTTGGAGATTGCGTTTACATTGGTTCTCATGGACTGGTGCGCCACCGAGTGGGAAGGTAGAGGAAATTATTTCTGCCCTGTCAGTATTATGTGATCTCTGTTTACTTTAATGGTTGAGAAATGCAGATTGCAGAATTCTACAAATATCCGTCTACCGACAGCTTTATGTCATTTATGTTGTCGCTTATATCCAATACCTAAAAAGCATATTTTTTAAGTTTGTTTTTGCGTTCTACAGAATTGAGAAAATGTGGATGCGAGATGGAGCAGGCTATTTCTTTGGCCCCATCTTTATCCATCCTGAAGAGACGGAGCATGAACCCACTAAGATGTTCTACAAGAAAGAAGTGTTCCTTAGCAACCTGGAGGAGACATGTCCCATGACCTGCATCATAGGTACTGTGTGTGTGTGT